CGTTCTAATCTAACATCATATATGGAATGTTTTATTTCTTAATTTGTTGCATCTTCGTATGTTTTTTTATTCTTTATATTATTTATGTAATTTTTACTCGACATTTAATTAAATGACTAACTATTCGCAAAAAATTAGTTCTAGTTCACAACAATAAAATTCCAAAGTGTTACAGTACTCCGTATCTTCGAAGAACAAGTTGAATAAAAACTTTCACTCATCTCATCTATTGTGCAAATACCGCATCTCGTAATAAACAAGAGCGAACACCTACCTATTTATTTCAGATTATTAATTGCATTATAATAACAGTAATAACAATAATTTATTATGCAAAACGTATTACAACAATATATAGCATTTCTTACTTCAGTTTGCAATTCCATTCTTTAATTGTGTAGAAAACTCATCCGCTAGATGATGGATTACAGACGACCATAAGTGAGGTCGATTTGTGATTCTCATTTGTTTAAATACCATATTGACTTCCTTATTAACAATACACTTTGTTTTAATTATTAATTTTAAAATGTTCTACAATAATTTGTAAGATTTTAGCCCAAACTAAAGTATACAGATTGTAAACCAAAAATTGAAGATGAAACTAAATATTCTATTTTTCTGTATTCCTTTTTTTTTACTTTTACTACTTTTTACTAATTTTATTTTGTTCTTAGTAATTTGCTGGTATAACTGTGCATTATGCTGATATAATCCCAAATAAGAGAGTTTAGAAAATAGTCGACCAATATTGGACAGGGGATCCGTCCTTCTATGACGTCATAGTTTGTTCAAACAGTTTGTTCAAATTTTAAAATCTACCTGTCACACGATCATTCAAATTTGATCAAATTGACAGTATACATGAAATTAATTGTCTTTTTTGCTTATTTATTACTTGCATGTGCTTTATTTACGATTCAAATTTTTCTTATCCATAATGAAAAAATAATGTGGATTCTTCACATTAAACCATCCAAAACCGTCTGATACTGACTTTACATTAACCACCGATATACGAATAGAAATGTTTCTGATCTCGTCTGTCAGCAAGCTGTATCTGATCCTGTGAAAATATTAAAATACGTATAATACAGTGGCATATTCGCTCCGTGCGTGACCATGGTAGGGGTACATTGAAACGATGCCAGCGTGCGTAGCGGCGAAATATGACAAAATTGGAATATTGGACAAAATATTTTTACGCATAAGTTTTATCAAAAATGTGTGCAAATACATGTTGCGTATTTAATTCTGCTAATAATAGCAAAAACAGTGAGTGTAGTTTTTATAGGTTCCCAAAGATTACATATAAATTAGAGAAAAAAAAGATGAATTCATGCTATTAATATGAAAAAGTAAATATCACATAATTTCATTTTTATGCAATTGAAATAGGAACAATTTAAATAATTTACCTTGAATGATATTTCATAAGGCTTCAAGCTAACTGCAGATGACTTTAGCTTTTATATTATAACTTTTACTATTATTGTTTTTAATTATATGCTCTTATATGCTTTTGCGTGAAAAACTTGATTTGCCAGTACTAGATTTTTCGCTTTTTTTCCGTTTGGAGTTGAAAAGATATATTATGATGAATTTTGAGAAACTCAGTTTTTAATACTACATTTATTTTGTACATAAACTGAAAAAATATAGTTAAAAAACTAATTTATTAATAATTGTCAATTTCGCATGTATTTAACAATGTCAAACATATGTCATATATTTAACCTGAAAATTGGGACTCCAAAATTGTCAGATGAAGGCGGTAGGTGTCGCATCAGTCACGCACGGAGCGAATAGACTAGATGTGAATATTCTTGTTCGTATATTATTTTCACAATATTGTATGCTTTTGTTTAAAGTAGAAAGTTACAAATTATTTTACGAAGGGCATTTTTATATAATTTACGAAAATATCAGGGATCATCCAGTACCTTTACAGAAAAGGGAAAGAAAATGCAATTTTATTAAATTTACTTCTATTTATTTCAGACTACATTAGCCTATTACTGACTAAAAGGTTTTGTATTAAAGTGAAATACATTTAATACAGTAGTAGGTAGACGAGATGTGAATAGTACGTAGGTACATTCTTTGCACACGGAATGGATCGGCCAAATGGAATAAATTCGATAAAAAATAAATGGGGCTTGTTTAAAAAACGCTCAGACACATTGATTGGTTTTTTAATTGCGCATTTTTTGTAATAAAAGCATTTCTTACCATTGTTGCATGTGTCATATATCAGTGGCCAATACTAACTTTCTTCAAATACAGCACCCGATATATTCACTTTTTGGATTCCTTGGTATATTTTATTCATATCTCATGTACAATGTTCTAAACCTATCGTTAATTATTTCGGAAATATTAAGTATTTTCAGATTTATTGCAAGAAGTAACATTAAAAGAAAAAGAAAATTATCTGAGTACATAAATTACTTTTTTGCAATAAAAATATTTCTTACCACTGTTACATGTGTCATGTATCAGTAGCCAATACTAACTTTATTTAAATAAAACACCCGATATATTATTCAATTTTTGGATTCCTCATTGGATTCAATATTTTAGGAATATCTCATGTACCTACCCAGACAGCACAACACACATCCCTGGGACGTCCATTTTATGCCATTTTAAGGTCCAAATATTCTGGGGCTTCTTTTGGACGTCCGACGGACATCAATAATAAATAAATTATATAAATAATACATAAATTTTAAATAATTATATTAAAAAATACTACGACGATTCGAATTTAAATATCTAAAGTTATATAACTCAGATGAAGACCATCCCTTTTTAGAAAGTATCTTATATACTTTAGCATCTTTTTCTCGTATAAATTTTTCTCGCATATAAAGTATAGCAAGTAAAACAATAAAAAAAGCAAGTAAAAATATATATCAACCTGTATGCGTCCATTGCTGTTTAAGTTTAGCAATATTTGCCCTAGTACATTTCTTTCGCCATAACCATACTTACCCATTGCTTCTTCTACATCACCTTACTTAAACCCCATTTTCGCATTTTAATTCGCCCATAATTATTGTGTAATATGCTGGATGGCATGTAATGCTGTTTCTAGATCCTCATAATTTTTTTCAATTTCTTCATCTGAGTGAGTAGTCGTTGAAGCATATGTCTGTTATATCTTGCATTTAGTTTGAAGATGAGATATACAATCCTGGGGCTTATGCTGATAGTTTATTAGTAATTAGATATTTTGTGTATGCGCTCTATGTATAATGAATCCTACTCCACCATTTGAAGTGTCTTCTTCACCTCTAAAATGAAATACGTGCCCTCCGTATTTCCTCCAGTTCCATCATCTTCTGGTCTGATATAAGAGTTATAATATTTTATGAAGTAATATGCATTTGTCGCTCTTTGTAGTAGCCTGATTTTTTCCGGGGATTCTTAGCATTCTCTGTTTCAAATCTGTTCCAACCGCTACCTTGGTTCTGAGTGTTGGTGCCCCGGAGACTGAGTGCCCTTAAGTAGTTTCGTCTTTCACGGAAAATGACTTTTGGGGCTTTAAGACATTAAAACGCCACGCTTGGCTAGTGCATGTTGGCGAGTTGGTTTGGAAATGGGCTGAGGAAAGGGTGGAGATGGGAAAAAATATTTACTTTATATAAAACAGAAAATTTTGGATCATATGATCGTAATCCGGACTTTTTCTATCACGAATATTTTTTTGATAATTTTTATGATTACCCACATAACCTTACTTGGGTTTCTAGGGCAGAAATACCAGAGGGAATTGTTAAAAATCAAATAGATTTATTTTATAATAATCAACAAGCAATTCAAGAATAGTATTAAGTATGCAAAAAGTTATTCTGGAACTCAAAAATATGTATTTAATTTATTCAGAATGTAGAAGTACGCTAAATTCGGACAAACTGAATGTTACAAAAACAAAATTAATGGTCTCAAAAAGAGAAATTATCAGTGGGTTAGCTCAATGAAAATTGAGATAAGAAATTCGTTTCTAAGTCGTCTTGTTGCAGGATTCTTGGAATATTATCGATGTACAAAACGAAGATGTTCTTTTTTTAATAAATAAATGCCAAACCTAAATATTTTAGCCACATCTTACGAAATGATAAGTACGAACTATTAAAATTGATAATAGAAGTGAAAAGAATTAGAGCATCGGTTCGAAGACCTTGGGCTGGAGAATATTCGTTAATGATATGGAGTTACTTCAAGAATACTTTTGAGAAGAGAATAAAGTTTAAATTGCGCTGATGGTAGCCAACTTTTAAGGCCGCATAGCACTTTTGTAAGATAAAGAAATCCTTATAATAACTACCGAGCGACCTGCAAATTTTTTCGATCAGTTTTACTTGTGAGCAAACAGAACTACGTAATATAGGGATCCTAGAAAAACATCTATTACTTATATAAGTTTTATGGAATATAATGCAAAGCATTTTATATGAATTATCCCTATTTTTAAAACAATGAAATAAATTGAAATTGTTGCCCTTTATTAGGTTATACTTTGGTTACTATTTTAATCGTTATCATATTAGTGTTTGCTTACTTTCTATCTCTAATCTTACAAACATGGATTTACCCTTATATTTACCTTTATTCGTTTTATGCTTTCAGTTTTCTAGCACCCTAACCTTACCCAGTAGTGACTAACAAATGTGCTATTACTGAGCCGTAAGCCCTTATATGTCTAGTCATCCATTATCCATCTTACACTCTTGAGTATCAATTGAAAGTCCAGATCCACTAAGGATTTTAACTACTAGGTTTGAAATTAAAATTTTTACTGAACTCGGGTTTACACTATGAACATCTTATTCCACTAACATTAAAGTATTCGTGTCAGTTAAATGAGCAAAAATAAACATTATTTTAATAATACACAATACATATTAGTTTAGCCTTATGTTGTGTTTGCAATAATATTTGGTTATAGTAAATTATAAAATATAATTCATAAAGTTTATTTTTTGTTTTCGCAGATCATTAGAACAAAATAGAATAGAGGAAGCAAGAGGAGGGTACACCGATGATGGGCAGTACAGATCTGGACTGAACTACGAAGGAAGTGGATACAGATATTAATGGCCAGTAAAATTTTAGTAAAAAGTCTGATTTCAATTGGTGTTATAAAAATATGTTTATAACTGCCAGTATAGATTATTTTTCAAGCAATAAATAGATTTTTGTATAATACTCGCTTTTATGTTCATTGTAAAAACCTAAACAATTTGAAGAGCTCAAAGAACATCCTCATACTACTAGATTTCGTCTTCATCTTATACCTTTTCTTAAACGGTAGGATAACTGTCTTTCTAGTTATATGGTTCGTGATATTGATTTGTTGTAGTATAATATTTTAATTACATATTTTAGTTTAGAATCTGCTTCAGCGAAGATATAGGTAAATATTTTAAAAGTAAGCTAGATGAGAAAGAAATGGTCCATTTACAACAATTTTTCTTTAAAAATTAAATTATTTTATGGTTTTAGTCAAACAACTAATTCTGGCCCTCCAAGATTGGCGGGTTCGGGTGTTAGCTACCCATCATCGGCAAAAACTTAAAATTTTGCTAAAAATCTTAATCACTTTCGGAATCGGATTGAGCTTTCAAGACGATGACATATGCTACAGAAATAGAATATGAATATATAAAGGTGGACCATACAAGGGTTATCTACAGAACAGGGAGAAGTGATAAAGCTAGAAAGAAGGTAGACATCACATCTATATGTTTTAAATGAAACAAAAAAGAAAGGAAAGGGTACTGAAAAAGTAAGGAAATGTGCATTCACATAATACACTCATATTCAGATTCATTCATATTCAGGCTAAGCTGCTAGAAACCGACGTGAAAGGTGACATTGAGAACCTTCTACATGTAATTCTAAAGGTAATAGCCTCTTTTACAAAATTAAAGTTCTCGAAGAAACTTTTCAAAAATCCCTTGATAGTATTAAAAGCGAAATATAAAAACTAATCATAAGTGTAATTCCTTTGAGAAAAGGGTGGAACACCATTATCAGAATTAAATGGGAAAAAATTATCTTTATATCAACATTTTCCAGTTTTTCCGAGATCTGAAATAAAAAGTTATTGGTTCAAAGATTACCATCCTATTGTCTATAATTTCGTCGCAAATGCCGGTCAATTTTGACCGGTTGATTATTTAGCATTAAACTGTGCCGGTTGTATCTCCTAATGAACCACAACCCGTAATTAAACTTTTAAAAGAAGCCTCTTGTCGGGTATTTTCTAACGCCGTTATCTGAATTTCATTTAAACTAATATTTACCTAGATATTCCATTTGTTTATAAGCCAAAAAAACAACTTTGAATTATATAAACACACGTTTACATGTATACTGTAGTGTACCAGTCTCACTTGCGCGCCAGTTCCTATTTGGCGAAGTCAGTCGTTTGTTGTACTCTTTACAGGTACGCCAGCGACTGGAACGATGTGTTTACACGTGTTGAAAATAACTCTCGCAGCGTTAGAGAGGACGCCACTGGCATGAAAAATAGACCAGCTCTCTATTCGAGACTGGACTGGCGCAAAAAAGTGTTTACATGATGCTACTACCATGCAAGCGCTGTCGTGCCAGTGCGACTGGAGCCAGTTACTGGATACGTGTCAACCTACCTTAAAGTACGTTAGATAAGTGGAATGCTTTTTTATATGTCAATTCTAGTTTTTTAATATATTAAAACAATTTTAACCAGTCGTATCTTATAGAAAATTCAATTATCGCTATTTTGTTTCAGTAAGACTTTGCTCCAAAATGAAACGTTATAAAGTTATAAGAAAGGAATGTAGAAAAAAACCATATTTAACCGTATTTAGTCGTTTTTATATACTTAAATTTTTTATTAATATTCCCCACCTATTACACAACTTGTTCTGCAAAAATCAGAACGCAGTCACAAATATACTCTTTTTGTCACAGATCCACCCAGCTCTATAACAGCTTGGAAGAAGAAATACAAAACCATTTGGTAACATCAAAATAAATATGAACACTGGCGATTAATACTCGGTATTGATATTGTAATTAAGGAAACCTTGTATCAGTGGCGGGCGGTCAGAATCGGCCTTTATAGATTATAGATTTTTTTTAATATTTAATTTAATCAGTATTTCAATAATTAATTGTGGCAGGTGATCAGTTGATGTCATTTATTTCTGTGAAATAAAAAAATATCTGTGAAATAATTAAATTTTATTCATGGTTTTTAAAAGAATTCGACCAATTCGATCAGACTAAATCTTATTCATGGTTTTTAAAAGAATCCGTCCAATCTGAGCGTTAAGTGATCCCTGCGTAAGACACTTTTCAAATTAATAATCCGAAATCGGAGACATGCATCCGCCTGTGAATTCTTAAAAAGCCACGTTTCAGGGTTTCGGCAAGCCGATCTCAAGCTTGGCGATTTACAATATTTACATGTAAAAATCAACAATATTACTTGATGAGCAACCAAACATACATGTCTTTTCATATAAAGTTAATTACCAAGTACGGCAAATTTAAATTTGCTGATACTTCTTAAGGACTGGTGATTGGTCGTGAACTGTACCTTGCGAGCGCGGGATGAAGTATTATTTCGGGGTGGATAAGTACTTAAGTAGTGAAGTGAAGTGATATTGAGTGCACGAACAAGCTTTTCTTTCTGTGATTTATTTTTATTTTCTAAAGTAATACTTTGATACGTTACGTTTGCCGTAAATAGTTAAAGGTTACGGGTTTTTTTGATATATTAGAAGTTTTTTTTTTAATTAAAAAACAAATTCAAGTAAATTAACCTAAAAAATGCAAGCTATGGGAGAAACTGTAGGTATTGATAAATCTGATATTGTAAATTGTATTTTGCAAAATTGATTTTCATCTATTCCATATGAAGAACAAATTGTTATTAAAAATAGGCGTCCTTTGTCTAAAATTGCTTATAAATATTAGTGCTGGTTGTAACGGAAGTAATAGATCATTTTCAGATAATTGGTACAAGTAAATTTACCTGGAGTGAAATAAAAAACAAACTTTTCTGTTGGCCTTGCATTTTATTTTCCACAAATAGGGACAAACATCAAAATTCGTGGTGTGAATCTGGTTACGATAATTTAATGGAATTATTAAGGGGTTTACATAAACATGATATTTCGAAAGATCATACATACAGCCAGATTAAATTAGATTTATTTGGAAAACAAAATATCTATGTTTCATTAGATAATGCCCAACGTGAAAATGGTATTAAACATAACGAAATTGTACAAAATAATCACGCAGTTTTACGTCGTTTAATTTATATTGTAATTTTTTTAAGTTGTCAGGAATTATTATTTAGGGGACACGATGAATCGGAGCATTGGTTAAATCAAGACAATTATAGAGAACTAATAAAAATGTTTTAGAAATACGATTTGGAATTTTCTAATTGAAGACACAAGTGGATAAAGGTGTCATGTAACAATTTTTGAAAAAATTGTTTTTTGTCAAAAATATTCCCTAAATATACTGTATTTTCATTCCGCAAAGGTATTGTGCATGTATTTTAAACAATTAATGAGATTTCTAAAAGATAAAGGTGTCATGTGTCATACCAGGGTGCCTTCTGTAGTGAATAAAGGTGACAAGGTAACATGACACCTTCATCCACGAGAAAAAATTTACTTTTGATTTAGGTGCCACCCAACTTGACACCTTAATTTGAGATTATATTACATTTTTATTTTACGAAAGTGATAGGAGTTTGTCTTGCTTTGTGTAGTTTTTATAGTTTAAAATGATGTCAAAATGGCCCAGAGGATCATTTCTATGTTCCTTATTAAAACTGCAAACAGAAACGTGTTTGCAACAAAAAGGTAGGTAAAATTATTAGCTTTTTAGTTAAATGCAGAATGTTGAGGTTATGCAACAATACTAAAAAGGAAACAATATTAAATCAAATCAATTAAACTAGTAACAAGTGTACATTTAAGTGTTAAGTTTTAAAGCAAGTTAAATTTCTCTATTAATAGTCTAGTAACTAGTTAACTTGTTAGTAGACTGTTACTGTTAGTAAACATTGTAACGTTGTTGCTAAAACCAACATTTTCTTTAATAGCTTTTAAAATGAATGCAGTTAGGCTACTATTGCGGTGCTCGATACTGTTGCTATATTTTATTAATGTTAATAAATTTAATTACATTTATAGATACTGCATAAAATTAATACATTTGTAGATACTGCTTATCAGCCTGGAACAAGCAACGAAATTGTAGAAGAAAGGTCAAATACATCTAATCTAAGCGGTACTGGCGGGGTTACGTCTGACGAAAACGGTAAGTAAACTATACTAATATTGCAAACTAGTTCATAAGGAATAGGGTTTCTTCTCATAGATAAAAGTATTTTACGACTCTCTATATGATAGAGACATAAACTCTGGTAGTGAGTATAACCCTGAAAGCAGTGGAACCTCATCATCAAACGAATCAGATAACGATACTTTCACTTAAATTACTGCAGATAGTTCGTTTTAACAAAGGACTGCAGACCACATTTTTAAACAAAAAAGAGAAATCGTTAAAAGAAAAGTATTTGAATTAAAAGAAAAAACGTCAAAAATTCGTCCGAGAAATCCTGACGGATGGAAAAAAAGAAAAGCAACAATTGCTAGAGAGAGGGGATAAGAATATAGCTCTCAAACGGGAAAGATTGTGGCAAATCCTCTTATCAAGTCCTCGAGCACTAAAAATAGTGTTGTTGTCAATATGAGAAATTACTTTTATGATTTTGAAGAGTTACCAGCAAAGTTACATCTGTTTAACAGGAAAACAAACCTGACAGGAGACAAAGTCAATTTTAGGGACGACATTAAGTGGATATGAGTAGACGAAATTGGTAGCTACCTGTACAAAACTTCTGTAGATGAATTTTCACCTTTTCAAAAGGTAGACCTAATAAAAAAAGGAAGCAGGGTAGTAACAAACGAAGATCACGTCACACTGAGACGAATTGAAGAAAGAAGGGGCAGTATTAGTTCCGAAAAAACAAACAACTTGCGCGAGCAGCTTGCATTTGTTAAGGATGAATATAAGTGGTTTTACGAAAATATTATAGGAGATAGTCAAGAAAACGCAAAGAAAATGAGAAAACCTAAATAGTAATTAGTAAATGTAGCATATAATTTTCTTTTACAATGTTCTGTTTTTGAAAATACAATATTTTTTGATACATAGCCTCTTTTTTCATTTCCCACCTATACTACCAGCATTTGATTTTTGCTGGATAAAGGTGTTATGTACATTCAAAGTCTATTTTCATCAAAATTGTAATGCCTTTTTATAATTTTATAGTTACTTCAAAAAACTACAACCATACATACAAAAACACCTTGATATAATTTAAAAACAGAAACAGCGCAAGAAAGTTCCAGTTAATAAACTTTAAACTCATTTTTCTGGAAATAATGATTTTAATACATGACACCTTTATCCACGCGTGTCTTCAATTTACTTTCTGATTCGAAGACATTTAGCGGTGTATCTAAAAAAAATCCAGAATGAATTAATAGAATCAATTAGTTACATTTTGAGTAACGTTATTGAATTTGAGATTCAGGAAATCATTTGCTTTTCACTAGAAGTAGATGAAACTACTAACATATCATGTCATTCACAATTATCAATTCTTTGATACGCGTTATGTGGTAATATTTATGAGAGGTTTTTAGGTTTTACAAACGTGAGTAAAAGCGATAAGGCAGAATATATTTTTGGTGTTTTAAAGGACAGATTAAAATTTTTTGATATCAAAAATAAATTGGTATGGCCAACTTCTCACGTCGCTGCCGTGATGTCTGGTGAATTAAATGCTATCCAGGCAAAAGTTAACATTATTGCACCGCAAGCTTTATTTACTCACTGTCATGCGCATAGAATGAATTTAGTTTTGCAGGATACATGTAAAAAATTAAAGAATGTCGTCTTTTTGCTAGTTTAAGCGGATTTGCTTCATTTTTCTCAAGATCGCCTAAACGGACTAATGTTTTAAAATGGTTTGTTTCGAAAAAAAATGTACAAACAAACAGTTTGTCAGATGCGATGGAATTTTAAATCTCGGTTAGTTTTCACTGTAGCAGATTTTCGTGAACAGCTTTTGGAAGTTTTTGATTTTATTATTGAATACGACGATTTTGAAAGTGATATCTTGTATTATTACTCTTTTAACATACTTTTAAATAACGGTTTCTTAATGTTGTTCTGGAGCTATTTTCTTGTGGCATTGTAAATTAATTACTATTAAACTGGGAATAAGCCACAATTAAAGATAAAAATACGTTTATTGACGTTTCAATTCCCACTTCGGAAATCGTTCTCAAAATACAAACGTATTTTTATCTTTAATTGTGGCTTATTCCCAGTTTAATAGTAATTAATACTTTTAAATATTTTGATTTGATATTCAATGTTGTTCAGAATCAGTTAACTGACATTATTCATTCCAAAAATAGAATTGCAAAACTGGTGCAAAATCTCGATATTTTCGTAATTATAGTAATTTCCACTATATACGCAGTGACGTTTTGACTCGCTTGATATTTCCGAATCCCCCAAAAAACGACAAAGGCATGACACAGAAACAGTTGTCGAAAAACGATTATATTTTGAAATTTTGGATACTATTATTAATTAAGCAAATAGATACTCGTTTTTCGAATTTTGAATATTTGCAAATTTTTAACCTCTTTGACGATTCAAAATTTAAAGTTACGACAAAGAATTTCCAAGATATTTATGAAACAGATTAAATAAAAATTATCCATCATTCTTTAATAAAATAAAATTAGAACATGAATTAAAAGTTTTATATGCAGATGAAAATATTTTCGGAAGGTGGAATAAGTTAAAAGATATGTATAATTTTATATACTGCAATTCCTTACAACAAACTATTACCAAAATTAATAAATTATTGTCATTAATTCTCTCATTACCACCAACGTTTGCCTCAAATGAACGAGATTTCTCTTGTCTCAAAAGAATCAAAACGTATTGACGAAACACCATGAAATAAGAGAGAATGTCAAGCTTGTCTCAAATGTCAATAGAAAAAAAACTTTTAAAATCTCTCCAAAACTCTAATAAATTTTACAATGACGTTGTAACCCATTTTGCTACTTCCAAACAATGTAGACTAACGTTAATTTTTTAACATGTTTAGGTTCTAAATTTATAGGAAAAAACAAAAAATCTCCTATGATGATTAAAGTCTTTATTAGAGGGTATAGCTATCTGAAGAGACAAAAATAACCTTGCCGACCTTGTCTCTCATGCCAAGAGCCGCCACTACCTTGTATACAATTTAAAGTAATTTGAATGAATTCGTTAAGCAATGCTCGGAAATTATTATGGAAATGGAAATACAATAATTTGAGGGTTGTTACTTGGGAAAGTTAAAAAAGTAATTCTATATTTTTGGCTTCTTGTAAAATACAACAGCTAACTTATTTTAAATATAAAGTATGCATCTTTCTTGCCTTAAAATCACAAGAATCACTTATTTTCCCGGGAGGTAATGAAATATGAAACTACATGTGAGTAAAACTGTTTATTGAATGTACTTCAGTTAATCATCAAAACCATAATAAAAGAATATTGTTGTTAACAACGGTTAATATTAAATAAAAAAGATATTGTTTTTATTGCACAATTCCTTGAAGCCTTCCAGCCACTACACGGTCAAAATGAGTTCCGTCCCAATAAACTTTCCCACATTCCTCACAGATGTAGAAAAAATCGTATTTTTGTAAAAGAGGCTTGGGAACAGAATTGACCTGAATTTTGGCGCCTAGACGAGTCTGGCATAATCCTACGTCCACTTTTTCATCGGAATCTAAAATAGAGCAATTCATTTTCAAATAAATGTTTTAAATTTAAAATTGTGTTCATTAAAATTTTATATTTATATTAAGAATGTGAATATGTGTAACGATATATTTCCGGGCTTATAAACCGTGTTCTATATATTTTTTTATTTTCGTATGTTGTGTCAGTTAACGTTAAGAGTAATGCGAAATGGTAGTGTTGCAATCTCTATAGTTAAGTCCCACAATTGTAGCAAGTGACTGATGTTTTAATGATTTTTATAAGCCAGTAAAATTGGACGACTTCCCTTTCTATAATTTTTTTTTTTCGACAAAAGGAGAAAATTTAATTCTTATTATATGATAAACAAGTTAGTGGATTATTGCAGAATGTGTTTAATCTCCTAAAAATTGAGAAAAACCTTCTTCCGAAAAAGAAGGTTTGGTTTAATTTAATTCGGTGACAAATAATAAATATGTCTGTCAGTCATATTTATTTAATAGTAAATCGTATATTAAAAGAAACGTCAAAATTTAACATCTGAAGAAAAAACTATGATTGGAAATGTGTTTGAAGGACTTCAGAGCCAGAGAACAAAATATGAATATAAGCGATGTAGTTAAATTATGTAGTATTTTGAAAATAGTTTCCGAAGCTAGTGTGTGCAGAGAAATTAAAACAAATGATGAACCAAACGATAATATTACTTTGAAGGTTGAGACAAGAGGAAGGAAACAAATAAAATTGGATGATACAATTCGTCGTGCAGTACATGAATTTTATTTCAAAAAGGAATTACTAGCTATAAAAAAGATTGCGTCTTCTCTTCAATGTAATGAAAATATTCCAAAAACATCAAAATGTGTTTTGTTACGTACTTTACGTGAACTGAACTTTAGGTATTTAAAGAGAAATGGGAATAATGCCCTTATTGAAAAAGAAGAAATAATTTTACGGCGCTGTAAGTATCTGAAACAAATAGCAGTATTTTGAAGAGATGAAAGAAAAAACAGATTATACAGATTAAACATAGTTTCATACTGTAACAACAATTTGGCAGGATTTAAATGTGAATAACAAACGACAAGCTTTCCTAGATGGTTTGTTAACAGGTTGTCGACTCTTTGTTAAAAGAGGTTTAAATGCATTTGTTTCTAAACAGACTAGAGAATACCATAAAGAAATGGATGGATTCATATATTCTGTTAAAAATCATACCAGGATATGTTATTGTTATGCATAACGCTCCATATCACTACCGGTGTGTATGTAGTACAATTATCAACCACTAAATGGAAAAAAGCAGAGATTGTGGATTAGCTTACTAAAAAAATATTACATTTGATAAACCAATTTTTAAAAGCAAGTTACTAAACTTAGTACGGTATCATAAAGATAAATATATTAAATATGTAGTAGATGAAATGGTGCAAAAACGAGGCATAATTGTAGTTCGATTGCCGCCATACCATTGTGAGTTAAACCCGATAGAACTTATGTAGGCTTAAATAATAGTGAAGTAGCAAGGATGTCCAAAATCTGCTTAGTGCCGTCTGCAATGTGACCTCACAGTCGTGGATAAAATGTATCAAGCATGTAGTGAAAGAAGAGCAGAATATGTGAAATCTTGATAACTTCATTGAAATTATCATGGAAACAGTAGTTGTATATCTAGACGAATATACTACTGATGAATCTGACGACGACATAAACGACTCAGATTAGATAATATATAATGTTAGTTTTTATTTAAACATGTTTTATATTTTATGGAAATAAATTTTCAGTTAATGTACTTAATGTAATTTAAGCACAGTTTTACCTGTGCTAAAAGTTACTAGACAACCCTTTTTCTAATCCCATATCATTAAATCTCATTTGACAATAGGAATTAAATTTATTCCTTGAATCAGTCATAAGTTTGTAAAATTAAACGGATAAAGGGTTTTTCCGAAAAAAATATATTTAACAAGGATTAGTGTTCTTCATCTAAGGCATCTATAAAATAAGAAAATAATGTTTATGGTAATAAATTCGTTCTAAAATCCTGATTATTTTTTAATAATGCACGCCTATGACGCGTCGACTTTCTTTTCCCTCAAACTCGCAAAGGTCCACATTGAAAATGGGTCACTGGCTACAATTGTGGTACTGTGATTTAGATGAGGTCGAGTACTTATCAGACCGCGCTAGTAGCTAACAAAAGATAAATAATCATCACGATCACTAACATTTATTAACAGAATCTTATATACGCACATAGATCCCATTTTCGTCCAGTTGACGGTGTCCATTTTTGGGGAATTTCCTCATAATAGTCATCTGCATCATCACTTGAAAAACCTGTAGCTTCGTCTTCATAATAACAAGGAGGGGGAGGACAATATGTTTGTGATTTCTCTAAAGCATCCATTGTCGATTTTGACAATTTGACGAAATTGTTACCATTACAAGCCTAAAAATATAACAAAAATAGTTTTTTATCGGTCAACCTAAAGAAATCAAATACAAAATAAAGAAAAAAATCCGAATAGGCAATATTCGATATTCGATAATTGTGTGTCTAGGAAACTGTAGGCATCATTCAGAAAAATCATTAATGTTATCTTTCTATATGTTTGAAGTTTATAAATTAAGTAAGATTTAATGGAACTCCTCCTTTGATAATGCTTTTCCCTAAATATTAATCAAAATAAAAAGGAAAACCCAATCTTGGATATTAGAAAATAAGTATTTCTATCATAAACGGAATAAAATTATTGCTAAATTTTGAGAATTTAGAAATATTTAAGACCAGGTTTCTTCAAAAATAGAGTTTTTTTAATAATTTTTATTTATAGTACCAAAGATATTTAAAAATCGAAGTTTTTACTGGCGAAAGTACATACAGTAAACTACTTAAAAAATGTTTCTTAAATTTTTCCAAATGGCGGCTTTGAAAATGACTGCCTAAACTAGTACAATTTGTTGAAGGGTGTCATAATTTCTTGGAAAAGAATCATCCGAAAGCAAAAAACAAAATGATTTTATATTCTGTATCGAATTGGCCATGATCGGTACTACAATGAAACATTTTCATAAAAAAAAACAAATTGGCGGAGTTTTGAATGTTTCGATCCTTTTTTTTTGCACTTTTATAACTTTCCTAAATAATAATGAATATATTCGGTTGTAGTACCGACCATAAAGAGACATCTAAAGAGTAAAATGCCGTTTGGTTCATCTTGATAAGTGCAATAGTTTCGAAATATGAGTGACGTCCAGTTGAAGAAACGTAGTTTCGAGAAAAGTCCATTGCATTAAAGTAAACAGCTGCAGTCACCCGGACCGCTTCAGTGACCGGATTAACCGCCTGGAGCGCTCTGCTCTTCCCTCTTCTTTACCTACTTCAAGGTCGCGCGGGCCTTTGGGAGTAATTCTACTCCCAAACAAAAAAAAATTCTATTTTTTTGAGAAGTGTTCACACAAAACAGCTTCACATACCTTTGCTCTTTAGTAACTAACTACTAACAAAACAAGCGAAAAAATTAAAAGACGAATAAACCTTACAAATGGGGCATACTATGAACTGCAAAAACCACTCAATAAACATCCAAAAAAGAACTAAAATTATTTTATACGAACACTGCTGAGGCCGGTCCTCATATATGGAGCAGAAATATGGACTCTAACGAGGAAAAATGGGACTTCTAGGTATATTCGAGCGTCAAATATTTTGAAAAATATTTGGAGCTATAAGCGACCATGGGCAATAGTGCAAAATATATAACTTCGAATTATATAACGCTTTAATGAACCAGACGTCGTAACGTTCAATAAAACACAGCGACATAGCTAGGCTGGACACATATTACGAGTGCCACACAACACGTTTGCTAAAAAGCTAACCACAGGAATACCTATAGAAAGAAGAAGTAGAGGCCGACCGCGATTGGGTGGTTAGATGGAGTTGAAACCAACTTAGGGATACTAGAGATCAGAAGATGGCAACAAGTCGCCACAAGTTATAATATATCTAGGCATTAATCTGAACCAACGATTAATATGGACCAAACATATATAGACGAAAAGACTACAATTAGGAATTTTATACAGAAAACTTTACTGGATCCTGGGAAAAAACTCACCTATCGATCGATAACAAGCTGCTGATATATAAAGTTATAATAAAACCCGTTTGGTCATATGGTTCGCAGCTCTGAGGCTCAGCTAGCAAATCTAATGATATAAAAATACAAAGATTTCAATTTAAAATTCGAAGAACAATCGCTAATGACCCTTGGTATATCCAGAATGACGCCTTACATAGAGATCTGCAGGTACTAACAGTCTCTGAAGAGTGCAAAAGAATTTCTGAACAGTTGCGCGTGCATCCTAACACCCTGGCATACGTTCTCCACAACCAACAAGCAAAGAGATGGAAGCGGTATGATCCCTTGGACCTACAAACCGTTCCTGACAGTGCCTACAGACGCCTTCAATAGCACTCAGCCATTGTGAACTGTGCCGCTTTTAGTATTCGTGTTCGCGTATCTGTGTATGTGTGAATCCCACCGGTAAATGAGCTAATATTTGTGTTATGATGTTTTGGTCACTGGAGCTTACATCTCTTTGACATTGTAAAGACAAACAATTTTACTTATTGGTTTATTGTGAAACAGATTGTAAAAAATTTTAGATATTAATAAAAAAAAGTCGCCAGACACCGAACAGAATGGTGACGAATCTTGTAGCAGTCCAAGATTCACAAAGTATTGTCGATCCAAAGATGATGATGATGATAAAAAGTATCCTCTAAATGAAATAATTGATTAACAACTCATTTTAACAATTTTATGACATATACTTTATCTAAACCTAAATGCATAGTTCATGATCACAATGTTCAAGATTTGTTCTTGGTATACTAATTTATATTATTATATTATATTACTTTACCTGGCATCTACTGAAGACATGACTTTTCGTCACGAGAACTTTATAATAACTTATCACCTCTTTTATTTGTTCGTCTACGTTCTCACTTATTATTCTTAAACAATGTCCTTTAGGAACATATCCGGCTAACTGTAATAAATACAACAGGTTAATAGGTTAACATCTTCGGGCCATTCATAAAAAAAATAAATATTTTTTTATTATTTGATTTTATAAATAAACATCGGTTTTTCTATGATGTTCATCCCATTCGGAATATTGATTCCTTTTTAAAAATAGGTTTTAAAAAACGAATCGTACTATAACATTTTGTCTTTAGAAGTTCGAAGAAACTGAGTCAATATTGGAATGAATTAAAATTGGTAGGCAAAGACCTACTACTGCATAACAGAGTGTTACAAAAAGATTGATCGAATTAGTAGACCACGATTTTTAGGGATGAAAATAAATCGATTTGTTCAAATGTTGAAAATAAATGGAATATATGCAAAAATTCATCCAGAAAAAGTTACGGGGTGTTACAAGTTACAAAATAATACCGATTTTTTTAATATTGCTCCAAAACAGTTCAACCCTTTCGCTCACGACTTTTTATTTCGTATTACAAAAAATATATTATGTTGGTGCCATTTTTGTTTATTTTATTTTAAATGTAATTTTAAAAATTTTTGTTTACCCTTAAACGAGTTAGGGGTTGTCCCCATACGAGGACATTGTGAATAAGAGGAAATAAAATGTTAAATACTCAAATTTACAATAATATTATACTACAAACTTACAATATATACTAATACAAATAGTATTATGTGTGATAATCAGAAAAACAATTTTTCTGTTTATTCAGGCACAAATGAATGTTACATTTGCAGCAGGTATACTTTGACTTTCCTTTATATCCCGGCTTTTTGCACCTGGAAGATTTTTCCGTTACTTTGGGTAGATGTCCTATATTATAGAGACGAACTTCCTTTACTGGGCGCACTTCTACCTTAGTTCTTTTGGAAATTGGCTGTTCAAAGTCATTGGAAGGACGACCTCTTTTCCTGTATTACTCTGTATTTCCCACAATTCGTCTTCGTCATCTGATAAACATTCAACGTCCGACAAGCCCCATTCCAATTCTTGAAGCAGTTCTTCATATGTAAGTGGCTTTCTCCTGTTCACTTTAAAGCACTAGTACTTGAAGAAAACAGCAAATTAATTATTTTATAATATCCATCGCAAAAACTAACTTACCTCTAATTTAGTTCACTTATTCACATTGTCCTCATATGAGCACAATACTTTTCAGACAACAAAATCAACTAAACTAGCATAACTTTAGTCAAGTCTAATTATTTGGGCTTAAATGTACACTTCATTACTACCTATATCACGACTGTTACAGTATATCAAACAAAACACTAAAGTTACCATCTGATATTCTGTCAACGTCAGAGGAAAGTTCCACAATGGTTTCAACGTCACATTTTCAAATCCGTTTTGTAGTGCTTCTACCCACAAATAGGTGGCGATATATGTGTTAAATTAAAGTTTCTTGTGTGTCTGTACGGGGACAATATGAATAAACGGTCACCACAGTTGTTCGAGTAATACAAAAAATGAAGAATTTTATGTCCTTATATGAGGACACTATGAGCGAAAGCCATAGTGTAAAACCATTAATTTAGAAGATACAGTCACTTTTTTAAATGCAATATTACATTTTTGACCTCTCCTTCCTATATCCAGGCTCTACATCGTTTCAACAATAAATAGCATATATTTAAAAAAAAATCAAATGTCTCTGTCGAAACGCATTAATTAGCAGCTTCTAAAATTCAGTTATTTATTTGAGTTGCACTATTTATTTCCGCGGAATAAACATAATCTTGGATAAATCCCCAAAAACAGAAATCGATTGGATTAAGATCTGCAACGCACACGTATTTATCTATCAATCAACGATCTAACGTAAAATAATGTTAAAATTTAAATGCCCTAACCTTTTCGCTGTAATGGGATAGACCAACACAAAAACCGCATACTTTGTCTGATAGCTAACCGTACATCTTCCAATTAAACAGGCAGATTGCTTCAAAAAAATGATAAATAATTTTCTCCCTTTGAATTATTGGGAAGAAATACTGGCCCTACTAAAGAACTACTGACAATTCCAGCCCAAACATTACTTTAACTTTAAAATAACTCAATAGTGAGGCACTTTTTTACCGTCAGGATTTACGTTGGCCCAGACATAAGTATTGTAATGATTAGTGACTCCATTTATTGTAAAGGTTACTTCATCGGTGAATAGAATATTCTTTATACAATTTACGTCGTCTATTTTCTTCTAAAGGTCAATCACAAAATCTTATATTTGGGATGGTTTTTTGGAAATAATTCTTGAACTGTTACATGAAAGGGGTGGAGTAACTCTTCCTTAATCGTTCTCCACACTTTCATACTATATACCCCTAATTCGACACCCTCATGCTTATTTCTGGGTGTTCACCAACACAATCTAGAATAACATTATCATTTGCACGGTGTTTGGGCGATCATTTTTACAACGCACATGTTATTAGCGCGTTAATGCCACAGCTCCATTCACTTGCCATTCAACCTAGTTAAAAATAAAGAAAAAGGTAGCCACAATCAATATTTCCGTAGTTGTTATTCTTACCTAAGGCTAAGTGCATATTTGCCATTTCAAAAAACTGGCATTTAAATGTAGCTTATCTTCTAAATAAATAATTTGGCAAACAAATACTAATAGACAAAAATGTTATGTAAAATAGATATTTCCCTTGTAGCCAATTGTAATTGTATACCCAATTACATCAACTCATATTTTCATTTCTTAGTATGTGACCAAAATGGTGTTCCTTTTTTTCCTTCATACTGTTAAGTAGTTCCTTTTCTTTCATCTTTATTAATGTTTCCGTGTTTGTTAGGTGATGTGTGCATGATATTTTCCACATTTTTCGATAATACCATATCTCAAAGCTGGCAATTCTTATTTTTTTCAGTTGCATCTCATTTCAATACTCTATAGTTCTAATTTCTATTCCCAGTTATATATTACACAATACTGCTTTCATTTTATTAAAAGCGCTTCTGGCTATCTCAATGCGTTTTTTGATTTTAAGGCTCTGGTCCCATTGTTCATTTAGGTCACATTCCAAGTAATTATATAATGTAAGTAACAAATATAGTTAAAACACTTTAAAAGTCTTTGAACCCCTATCATTTTACACTGACTAAAATTTTTAAATTAGAGTGTAGATGTGTTTAGTGAAATTTAATTATTTTGAATAGTGATTTAAACCTTCGTTGATAGAGTGTTAAGTATTGTTTGCTGTAATTTAAGTATTTTGGATAGTGATGTAGCGTCCGTGGAAGAATGTGGTTGAAAATATTGCTTTTGAAAATAATGATTTTGTACAAAGCGCCAGTGCCAGTTTCAGCTAATTGTCATCTTTTAGTTTCTTTTAAATACAATTAACCTTTGATAATTAATTAATAATTCAGAAAAGTTTGGTAGTTCATTTTGACATATGACAGTGGTACATTTTTTTCTGTCATTTGCTACATAACCATAGTTTTTAATTTTGTTTTTTTAGAAGGTTCAATGTCATGTTTTTTGATAGATTTAAATATTTTTTTGCACTAACTGTCTACGTACAATAAAAATAAATATGTAATTTTTCCCTTTAAGCCAGGAGTTTAGAAAAAATATTTCTTTAAAAAAATATTCACCCTTAAATATTTTTAGGAAATAAAAACCCTAAACCTTTCTTTCTAAGCAGCAAGAGGATTTTTTTAAACAGCCTCCTAATTTTACATAGTTTAAAAATCTTCTTGTTTAGTATTTGTCCAGGAAATTTCTGTAAGTATTTCTTGATTTATTTTTCGTAGTTAGTTCTCCCAGTACCCTCCTCCAAAACAGGAATCGATATCCACGACCTTGCTCTCCAACCAGAACATGAGTAGCCGTTCGCAAAACTAACAATAACAAGAGTAATTACAAAAATTATTCTACATCATTTATCATTTATATATAAGCATGCGGTAAGAGGTATGGTCCCTGTAATGTCTCAGCCGTCACACTATATCTTTCACTTTATCTTAAGCTTTTCCTTTAACATAGACTGTTTCCATCTTGTTCTTACTGACAATCATGATATATTTTTTTCAGAGACGTTCCATACCTTTCGAATTATTGTGTAATGCGATCAATCAAAATTCAAGGAGTATGGTATCATTTGCATATCTGAGATTATTCACTAGTGTTCCGTCTTGATATGATTTCATTGATGTCTTCTAGTGTCTGTTTAAACATCTTCTCTGAGAACGTATTAAAAACTAGAGAGGATAGTACACATCCTTATCGCACTCTTCTTCTTATAGGTATCTCTTTAGATTTTTGTTGGTCTACTCGTATTCTAACTCGTATTATTCTGATATTAGTATAAATTTGATTCTCACATCCTGATCATCTCTATATTCTGTGTTCTGTAATATGTTTGCAAACCTGCTGTGTTGTATTTTGTCGAAGGCTTTCTCAAAGTCAACTAGACATATGAATACGTTACAGTTGATATCTCGACACCGTTGTATGAGTGTTTGTACAGTAAATAATGCCTCCCTGGTGACAAAGCTTTTTCTAAATCCCAGTTGGTTACCTGTTATTCTATAGTTTAATTTTTGTATACACGTTCATGTATCACTCGCAAGAATTTCATTGCGTTAAGTTTGTTCGGTATTGGGATGAACTCAGATATTAACCGGTATTTCCCATATAGTAAATTTCATTGAATAATTCTATAATACAATACAATATAATACATCAATGTTGTTCTGTGTTAGTAGTCTAAGATGTCTGTAGGTATTTCATCCGGTCCCATGGCTTTATGTTTAGGTATATATTATATATTTTCGCTACTTCGGTTTTATTGGAGTAATTCCGTTTTGGAATAATATTAAAAAATTGTTTTATTTTGTAACTTTTTGGGTGCACTTTTTCACATAGGTAAGTTATGTTAAATTGACTTATTTTTATCTCTACAATTCATAGTGTAATATATGGCCAATCTTTTTGTGACACCCTGTTTAATACGTACTTCAAGTAAATAGTGCTGTTACAGTCTTAACATATTCCCAATAATTCCTCATTATTCTGTTACAATTATTAAGAAAACACGAAAATATATTCTATTATTTTAGATGTATCTCAGCCTAAATAAAACGAGTTTTTTGTGTCGTTCCGACTCCCGCTAAAACAGGTTGATTCTTTACACACTTCGATATTATTCTTCCATTTTTAATATAAAAAGTTGTTATTTTTACGACCACAACTGCCAACAGCCTCGCTAATCCGTTACAAAAACAATTAAAAAACAACTCGTAAAAGGCAATCAATTTTTTAGTTTTATTATTTTTATGCAGTTTTTTCGTAATGTATAAAAAAGTGGTTTTTTAGAATCCACTGTTTGGGACATGTAAAGTTCATTCGAGACGTTAAAACCGTTAAAGTTCCTTATAACAGTTGAAAAGTTGGCGGTGGTTTTTCCCTATAAGAGGTTGAATCAAAGCGGCATTCAGAGACTTCGTTCTCGGTGCTCCTACCGGACAGTAGTTACCTCCATACAAATAGCAGAAAAATAAATAGTGTTAGTTAGATCCCTTTGTAAACTACAATCTTTGTAAACTATAGTTACGTAAAATAAAGTGAAAATAAATACAACAAAGCATTATTATTACCAGCTCGACGTAGAAATTGTTTTCGACGAAGGATTATTTAAACCAAGCCTACTTAGCCAGTTCCAACGTCTGGCCCGCTTCTTGTGTTGTATAACGGAGATAATTCACAACAATTGCTTTACAAGCAAACAGCTAACCAGTAAAATAAGTCATGGAGAAAAGCAAACTAGAGATAGAAGCCTTTCTTTAGTTAAGGCTAAGTCTAAGGCCGGTAAATCTTTGAGCCAATTAATGGCATAAAACAAGAATGTTTATATTTCATGTAAAATAAGTTGACTAACCGTGGTAATATAGAATATAATGCAAACAAAAACAATACCAAAAAGAAATAATCTAAGAGTTTTTTTTATTGAATTTTCCATTACTTGAGATAAATAAAATCTACACAAATGCAAGTATAAATAATACAGCCATCGCAACAGGTCCTGGAGGCCTTTGGTTTCTGGAATACAACTAGTAAGTTTCAACAAGGCATGTGCCATATCTCTCATCGAAATATCCACGCAGCTTATGGAGCCCATGTCGTCCTGATTTGTCCGCAAATTTCAACTCTATTATCCAATTGGAGTTTTATACTACCAGGTTTGAAAATGTCAGGCTGGCGGAAAGCTCGTGCCAACTAGAATAATTCTACTGATTCGCAATAAAATGAACTCTTCCAGTCCACTGGCTACAGAGTTGATAAATAGCAAAAATAACGGATAAAAATAGCAAATCTAGAAAAACAACGATATGACCTACTTCGGAACATACTTCAAGGTAAAGTGCATGGGAAAAGAGGCCCAGGACGGAGAAGAATATCCTGGCTGTATAACCTGCGAAAGTAATTTAACTTAACCACTACCGGACTTTTCAGGGCAGCAGTCAACAAAGTCAGAATAGTCATGTTAGTGTCCAACATCCGTAACGGATAGGCACCATAAGAAGAAGAACTAAAAGACAAATATATTTACTTACTAGCTTAAATGTTTCGTATCCTTTCGTCAAAATATATCTTCGTTCATCGATGGCATATTTAACGCACTCTGTGTGGTCCTGATGATTTTCCAGAATGGCAGTGTCGATACCGCAACTCCTTAATTTCTTGCCAAGACCTTGTAGCATTGTATCACAGACGACTTTCATTTGTTCGGCAGGTACTTGGTCACTATGTGGAGACGGAGGCTGACTGAGTTCTTCTTTGGGTTTGGCCGCTTCCTTCTAATAAAAATAAAATACAAACAATACACACGAAAAATAAGAAAACATCCTAAACAACCCGTCAGTTAATTAAATATATATCATCATTCAATCTTCGCTTATCCACTGCTGGACATAGATCTCCCTCATAATTTTCCATCTATTCCGATGTTGTGCCTCTTGCATCCAATTCCTATGACAACGTTTTAGATCGTCAGTCCAACGTGTTGGTGGACGACCTCTGCTTCGGTAGGCATCATCTCTTGGTCTCCATTCCAGTATCCGCTTTGTCCATCTGTTATCTGTCATTCGAGCCACGTGACCTGCCCAGTTCCATTCCAGTGTTGCTACTCTCTCTACTGCATCAGCCACCCCTATTCCTTGTCGTAGCTGGCGATTTGGGATCTTGTCTCGTAGTGAAACGCCCAACATAGCACGCTCCATCGCCCTTTGACACACACGGATCTTTTGAACAGTTCCCCTTGTCATGGTCAACGTTTCCGCACCGTAAGTCAACACTGACAAAACACACTGATTAAAGGTTTTTCTTTTAAGACATATTGGTATATCAGACGATTTGAAAATATGGTTCAGCTTGCTGAAGGCTGCCCAAGTCAGTCTTATACGACGGAGAAGCTCAACGGTTTGGATATCTTTTCCTATGCGGATCTCATGACCTAGGTATTTATAGGCCATTACCTGGTCTACGGATCTTGTTCCTACGCATATATATTCGCTGACTACAAGATTTGTCATCATCTGGGCTTTAGATTTATTTATTTTCAATCCCCCTTCTAGCGAGGAAAGGTAGAGCTTTAGGTAGAGTATATATATATATATATATATATATATATATATATATATATATATATATATATCGCTTTTTTTAATTTCATCAGATATAACTTGCTGGTTTAGACGAGATGATAAACATATCCATTCGTATATCGGTGGTTAATTCAAAACCTTTCAGTCAGTCAACGACTGGGTGGGTTAATATAATCGACAATGGTTGGTTTTACCACTATATTATAAATTCAATTTAATATGTCTGGTTTTAAACCTCACATTTTTCCATGGTACAGATTACCGGAAATATTACACACGATGCCGTGAAGATGTCAAAAAAAGTGCTAAAGGCAAAAAGTGAGACGTGGGACAATAAATGTAAACAAATAGATCAGAACATAGGTTATAGCAATAAAACTTTTCAACACTGTGAAAGTTAGAAAAAGATCTTGTATAGGCCACATACTGAGAAATAATAAGTATCAATATACTCAACTAATAATGAAAGGAAAGATCGAGGGAAAGAGAGAATTAGAAAGGGAAAGACTATCGTGGCAAAGAAACATCCGACAATAGACAGGGCTAAATTTTGTACAGCTAATAAGAACAGTTGAAGACATAGAGGAGTTTGAAATTGTAGCATCCATTGAGGAAAAAGCACTGTAAGAAGAAAAAGTCTAAAACAGTCATCGATAAACAAATATTTAGAAATAATCACGGATTTTTTTTAGTTTAAACCAAACATCTTTATAAAAGCAATCAAAATACCTTTTTCACAGCTTTCTTGTTTATTTTCTTCGTACTTCTTGGATTCGTCATGAGTTGGTAACACGTTTCCTCGAAAGGAAACCCCACTTCTTCACAGCTCTTACGTAGCACGTCGTAACATTGTATCAAACAGTAAGCATCCAAGGCTGCATATGTTATTTGACTGTCCCGTAAAGGCCTTTTCTCCCAATTGGAAAATTGGTCGGACTTATCTAGAGGAGAACCCAAACAGCAATGGACTAAGGTGCTTAGGCTAGGGCCCCCTTTTTGTACTAAAACATATTTTTTATTAAATTTTAGATCATTTGATATTTTTGTGACATTTAAGTTGCTCATTAATGTTTACTCATTAATGATTACAATTATTATTATAATAACTAATGAGTAAATTTGTAACCTTGTATGGTTAGACAATGTCATAATAATCTGATTAATTTTAGAATATTTTGTAAAGCGTACGTTAATGACACTTGAAAATAAAAAGAACGAGACTACATAAATAGACAAAGTTTTAATAGAATTTTACGAAAAAGATACTGATATACAGCTTCTTAAAGAAGCAACATATGTTAATGAAACGACGGATATCATAGAAACATGAATTATGAAAAATTAAATAAAATATTTCAAAAGCGTATCAACACAATGTTGATTACTGCTAGGTATTAGTTTTCTGCTATTCACAGAAACTTACGCCCGCCACTTTTTCATTGCTACTATTTACGTGGCATTATTCCTTTTAGTAGTTAACTTATTACAGGTATCCAGATAAATAACTTCGTAAGTCTTTCCAATATTGCTCAATTTTTCTCTATCTTCTGTCATTCTGGTCCATCGGACACCTATAGTTGTGGCAATGTGGTACGCGTTTCTTGAGGGATATCTGCTTCTATCTTGTAACTCTTTTACCTTCAAATATCCCTTGTAGGGTAAGTTTCTCGACACCATCCCATCCAAAAGCATCCCCAAAATAGCTTATACTTATAATTTGTTATATTACTTGCGTTTTTCGTATTTTTAATTTCGTATTTTTAATGTTCTTCGGGTCACTCAGGGGAATTGTAAGCATGCGTCTCCAACAGAACTTCGTGAACACATATAAAGGCCTTGTATATTTCTCCTTGAAAGTCCACCAATCAGAGACGACAGGACTTTTTTTTCTATTTATTTTAAGACTCACTGTTGTGATGATTATTTTAATCTTTTCTAATAGTAAAATTAATCAATATCCCTAAAAGAGTCCTTTTAAATTCTGCGCAAAGCAACTTTACCATAATTGGCGTTTTTTTTTATAAAAGTTGGCAGTCATATAATAAATTTTGAAAAAAAATTTATATCAATTTTAAACTTTATTAAAAATATAAAACGTTTACCTTCAAATGGTAGTTTTACTTCTGGATATTTTTCCAAATGTTTCCAGAATGAACACAGATCTAATACTCCTACTTGTTTTGTAGAAAAATTAAGATTAGGCAGTGCTTGCCTTATCATATGCATATCACCAGTTAAACTAAAACCTAAGAAACAAAATATTATTAATAAAATAGTAACTGTAATGTTTGGAAAGGTTAGTACAATTTAACCTACAACTAAGTATTATATTTAAAAATAATTTTAAAAATAATGTTGAACTTAGTTTTGGTTTATTATATATATACAGATTGAACGAAATAAATTCGGAACATAGGAATATAATGTATTTCGGCTCAATTCTGCTGTAGGTGGTTGGCCAACAACAGATTGTCAAATAATTATATTATAAAAATCCCATACTTCAGCGGGCTGCTGGATTCTGAACTCATAAAAATTGAAAGCTACACATAAATCTACGATTTTATTATGCTGTCAAACCAGTTATAGTCCAGGAAATGAAGCATTTCACCTCGCAATTTTTTCGTGCTGCGTGGATTGACTTGAAATTTAACAGGAGGTAGGTAATAGCCTAAGGATCAAAATCTATATCGAACCAAAGTGCTCCAAAGACTAGGGGGTGGTTGCCACCCCATCTCCGGGGTGAATTTTTTTTTACGTTTTAACTACAGGTTTCGATTAAAGAAGTGATTCTAAACAAATAATGTGCTATACGTTTTTTTTATAAAATAATATTTTTCAAGTTATTCGCGATTAAAAGTAACAACTTTTAAAAAATTTTGTTTAAAATCCTTTACAAAAGGTATATAAAAATGCCCCAAACGGGCTATCACAAACACATTGCAAAACGTTTTCGGATTAAACAATCCATCATCAGTGCAAACGGTTGTACATGCTACAACCGTTTGCACTGATGATGGATTGTTTAATCCGAAAACGTTTTGCAATGTGTTTGTGATAGCCCGTTTGGGGCATTTTTATATACCTTTTATGAAGGATTTTAAACAAAATTTTTTGTGATATATGGTATACAGCCAGCTACAGGAACTTAGTTTCCTCGTGGAATTTTAACAACTTTTAGACGAAAAAATCCACGTTTTTAATCGATTTTTCGCAAATAACTCGAAAAGGGTGCATTTTATCAAAAAAATTGTAGAGAACAAATTTGTAGCTTTTAAAAAGACAAACACAATTCATTTTTTAAAATGTTTTTGCGATATAATAGGAACCGAAATACGGCCTGTCAATGTTCAGCGGTTTTCTTCAAATGCCAAATTTGAAAGATTCAAAGTCAAATATCGGGAAAATGATGCATTTTTGGAAGAAAACTCATAAAACCTTTTTTAAAGAGCATAAATAGACCTATCATAAAAAAAGACTCTAGCTCAAAAATTGAGTGAGTTATGATGAAAATAAGGTCAATACCTCATTTTTTACGAAAAAATCGATGAAAACAACCCCCTAACCACCGCCATAATTAAAATCGATCTTCACCCTTCTGCAATTCCCTTTGTACATATATTGTTAATACGTCCAAGAAGTTTGACCCATTTAAAATGCTTAGTTTTAGAAAAAGTACAGCTTAAAGCGAGAAACGATTTACAATTTCATATTTTTTACCCTTCTTTTTTTAAATATGCCCGAAAATACTGAATATATAAAAAAAATAAAAATTACCAAATTGTAGCTTTTTTTAATGACTAAAATTATCCTTTATTTAGATTTATTGTACAATGAATATTTGGCGAGATATAGCCGTTTAAAGCATCGATTTATGATCAAGCACCATCTTTTTCCAGCCCTTTAAACTCACCCCATTTAAAAACCAAGGGTTCCAAAAAGATTTAATTCACAGATCCTTAGTTAATCCCAGTTAATTTTTTTCCGGAAAATTCCATTAGTATAGTACAGTACATTTCGGAGCATAATAATCTACAAAACCGGTATATTAGCTAGTGGGGCGTTATACATTCGAAATTTTAAGCGTTCTTATTTTAAAATCCCATACAACAGAATAAAACATCTGCTCATATGTCTATGGCTTGGCAATGAAAATATCAGAGCAACAGATTGGGGATGGTATTCCAAAGATGGTTTGTTATTACCCGTACGCATGAACAAACAACCTGCACCCGATGAACTTTTGAAAATTATTCTTTGCCAATGCAAAAAAGGATGCGGCGTTTCATGTGGGTGCAGAAAAGTTGGTTTATACTGTAACTCTACTTGTTCTGGGTGCTCAGGTGAAGGGTGCAATAACAGTCCACCAATAATTGAAGAAGATGAGGATGACACAGATGAAGATGTAATTTATGACGAATAAAATTAATATTATAACTGTTTTACCTATAAATGTAAATATTTTCAACTATTTATGTAAATGTGTAAGAATATATGGTGCCTTTTTATGTTGATAAATTTTTTTGCATTTAATTCTACTTTTTTCAATTTATATCTTATAAATTAGTTTATAAAAACTGCAATGTTGTAAAGGGTGATTTTCAAAAGTTGAAAAGTTGCAAAATTTTGGCAAAAAATTGTTTTCACCTATAGCACTCATAACAATTGATTTTTAAGGGTTGAAAATGTATGAATTTGTATTTTAAAGTATAAAAAAATCACTATTTAACTAATCCAAACCAAATTTCACTCATCTTAAGATTTGTAATATTATTTTACAATTTTTGAAAATTAGGGGTAGTAGTCACCCCTAAGAACAATCAAGGTTCATCGGCATGACATAAACTATAAAGCAGAGGGTGAGTTGAGCTTAATTCCAAATTTTTATGCAAATCGTTCCGAGGTGAAATCATTTTCTTCGCATTACTAATTTTTTTATATTAATCTCTAATAAGGATCGCTTTTTAAGGGTTGAAATATGATGGAACTTTATTCAAAAGCACGAAACTATCATTATTTAATTAATTCAAACCAAATTTTGCCCATATTCAGGTTTAATATGTTATTTTATAATTTTTGACAATTAGGGGTAGTTTTCACTCCTAAGAACAATCAGGGTTCGTCGACATGACATAAACTGTAAAGCAGCGGGTGAATTGAGCTTAAATCCAAATTTTTATCCAAATCGATCCAAGGCGAAATCATTTTTTTAGAATTAGTAATTTTTTACATTAATCTCTAACAAGGGTTGCTTTTTAAGGGTTGAAATATGATGGAACTCTATTCAAAAGTATAAAATAATCATTATTTAACTAATTCAAACCAAATCTTACCCATATTCAGGTTTAATATGTTATTTTATAATTTTTGACAATAAGGGGTAGTTTTCAACCCTAAAACCCTTCAGCGCACTTCGGTTCAATATAGATTTTGATCCTTGGGCTATCACCTACCTTCTGTTAAAATTTCAACTGGATACATGCAGGACGAAAAAATTGCGAGGTTTTAACTTTTTTGAGCTTCATTTCCTGAACTATTATCGCTTCCTTAGACAAACCCGTCTTACGCAAACAACATTGTTGCGACACAGATACTTGAACGATATTTTATACAATGTCTATACCCAGGTATGGATTTATTTTTGTCCAAGTTTTATATTGGTCCACTATTTCAAATGCAGTTCAAACATACATGTATTAAATTGTATGTTTGATTCAATCGTTTCAATCGTTTTAATTTGGTTCAATCTGTATAAATATATATTATATATATATATATATATATATATATATATATAATATATATATATATATATATATATATATATATATATATATATATATATATATATAATATATATATATATATATATATATTATATATATATATATATATATATATATATATATATATATATATATATATATATAGGCCAATTAAAATGTTTGCAATTTTTTGAATTTTTACGAATCATACCATAAAGTGATTGTCATTGGATGTTTGTGTAATGTGTAATTGTGTAATAAAATAATGATTTTATTGAAAAATAAATAAAATTAACATTGTACATTTTTTCTGTTTTCTTTATTAAATTACAATTAAGTCGTGATTATTAATACTGTGTACTACAACCTCTATTGTGAATTACACTCCTCATTCGATTTGGCACTTAATTGATCAAATTCTGGATATCGTTTTCAGGAAAAGAGCCTATTCTTCCATGAGCGCCAACCGAAGCTGCTCACGATTTATTGGAGCAGGTATTCTGTTTCTTACCCTTCGTTTGAGTTGGTCCCAAACATGTCCAATCAGGTTCAAATCTGGACTTTGGGCCGACCAGTTCATTTTTAAACACCGACAGTTTGCAGATATTGAGTTAACATCCTGGCTACGTGTGGCCGCGCGTTGTCTTGTACAAAAATAAAGTTTTCGCCGACAATCCCAGCAAAAGGCATTACATACTCGTCTAGAATTTCGGTAATGTATCGGTGTGCATTCAACGCTCCTCTATCAATAAATACGAGATCAGTACGGCCCTCGAATGAAATACCTGCCCAAAACATTACCGAACCTCCTCCAAAAGCAACACGTACTCGTCGAACACAAGCAGTATATCGTTCTCCACGTCTTCTGTATCTTTTGATGCGACCATCTGAGCCATAAAGAACCATACTGGACTCATCACCAAACAAAACATTTTTCCAATCTTCTATCGTCCAATGCTCATGGTATCTAGCAAACTGTAGTCGATGTTGTCGATGTGCTACTGTTTACAAAGGTCCTGTTGCCTGGACAGCCACCCTTAGAGCAAATTATCTCAACCTTCTTCTCACGGTAGAAGTGCTTAAAGTCCACCCGTGAGCATTTTGAAAACGGTTTAGGAATTACCTAGCCATAAAGAACCAATTTCGCAAAGAAGTGCGTTGTAATGAACGGTCTTCTCTGGCCGTCGTGATTCTTCTCGGGCCTAATCCTGGTCGTCGTTCGTGAGATCCAGTCTCTACGTATCGTTGGTAAATTTTTTGGACTATACAAAAACTGACTTCAAGCTGTCTGGCCACTTCTTGACTCATTCCATTACCAATCAAAGTATCAATTTGAACAGATCTAGCAAATTTCTCAGCCATAGTTTTTAATTTAAAAATTGCACAAGTTTACTCTTCGAACAACTGTACACTAGTGAAAAGTTTTTGAAAAACAGAATAGCCATATTCCAAGAAAAATAAGGCACAAACAACACATGCAT